TTTTTTCAATTGGCTTTTTTATATTTATAAAAGAATAACCTTAATGTTTTTAAAAAAGCAATACACAACACAAAAGCAGAGGAAATATCAGTTCTGACCTCTGGACACACGTGGATGCCACTCCAGCTGGGGGCTTCTGGCTCCAGCAGGGTGGGACACTGTCAGCCCCAGCAGCCTCTCCAAGTCCCTTCCTCAGTCCCAGTTTCTTGGCACCCCGCCCTGGGAAGACGGAGGTGCGGGAGAGCTGCGAACCTGAGGTACATGGCGTTGGTGGCCTTCTACATGGGGTTGATGGGGTCCTCATAGCTGATCTCTGCTGCACGGGCTCACTCCTGGGCCATGTGTGCGCCCTGCACCAGCTTGGCCCCAAAATACCAGCCTTCATGGCAAGCCAGCTCCATGTCCAGGGTCACATTGTCATAGGCATCCTGTGGGACTAGGGCCAAAATCGCAGGGAGCCTGGGCAAGCCAAAGCGACAGCAGGATGGGGCCTTCCTGGGCCCATGTGCCCCCAGGTGCAGTCACCAGAGTTGGGCAGCAGCTGCCTGGGTTGGTGCAGATCAGGGCATCTGGAGCAGATGTGGTTGAGGATGGGCCTCCAACCTCTGTCCCCAAGGAGAAATGGCAGTGGAGATGTCTGCAGCATGCTATGTGGCCGGTGGACAGCCCTGTGGGGGCAGCCCAGGCATCAGTAGCGATCACATGCTCTAGACTCCCAGGCTGACTGTGGAAGGGGTGTGTACTGGGGACTCCTGCCTGGACACCTCCCCATGCCATCCTGTGTCCTCCAGGCACCTGGCTCACCCCTGAGAGCTCTGGACCTGCTAACGTCCCTAAGAAGCTTGGGGTCCTCAGGCTGGGCTGGGGGTCCTGCCTTGAATTACCCCTGGGCTCCCTGAATACATGCGACATCCTGGGTGAGTCATTTCAGGAAGGGCCCAAAGAGGGGTACTGAACTGAAAACGAGCTTGAGGAAACGGTCATGTGAAGCCTTCCAAGTTGGGGGTGTCGGGCACATCTAGTGGATCCTCATAAAGATTGTTGTCCTCCTCCTGCACATTAAATACTCTTGGCTGGTTCTCAGAAGAGGAGGGGCTGCAGGCAGCAGGCATCAGCGGTGGCCTTTCTTCCTACTTCGAGGCAGTCACCCCAGCCTCAACCTCCTCCTCAGGCCTGGCTGTGGCCACCACCCAAGGGCCTCTTTCCTGGACCCTGGGATCCGCCCTGGTGAGCTGTGCTGCCGAAGACCCCAACAGCCCTTCGGGGGCATGGCCCACTCTCTCCTCCATCCCATCAGCTCCCTGGCAGGTGCTTAGCATTGAACCAGGAAGATACCATGGAGCTCAGATGAGAGGAGCCCTTCCTGTGGCCGGTCTCCAAGCCCCTAGGCAGGAAGGGGCTGGGTGGGAGCTGACCTTGAGGTAGCACTGGTGAGTGTTGAAGATGAGTGGCCTCTCCACATTGAACCTGTGCTGCTTCTCTAGCATCAGGCAGCTGATGGCCAGCTGGAAGTAGATCTGCTCAGCATCCACCAGTAGCTGCACATCCACTTCTGTGGCTTTCTGAGAGGCACAAGGGGAGGGGGAGTTGGAGCACAGCTGTTGCTCGAGGCAGGTGCCCTCCTCTGCATGAGTCCCAGGTCCCCAGGGCCCCAGCCCTCTGCCTGAGCAGGGCAGCTCACATTGGTCAGGATACCCATCTGCTGCAGCATCCTTGTCATCTGCAGCTCCTCTTCCTCAGTAAACTGGAACAGCAGGGGCTTCAACTATCCTGTCTAGGAGTGCAGCACACAGTCAGGCCACAGCAAAGGCTAGAAAGTGCCACCCCGGGGCCCAGACTAAACCTCTCTCACTGTTCCCAGCCCACAGGAACCCTCTTACCACCCCCATGCAGAGCTGGGAGGGAAGGCCAGTGTGACACGGCAACACAATGTCCTGCAAACCCCAACCCAGCCAGTGCACTGCCCTACGTGGGGCCTGGTGGCACCATGACGGAGCTCAGTGCCAATGCCAGTGGGCCTCAGGCTCAGTCCAGGCCTGCACCCCAAAGTTGTACTCTAACAGCCTCCCCAGTTCCCACCGAGGCCCCACCATTGTGGGAGGGCCCCTGCAGCTCCCGTGTGACACTGTGGAAACGAATACTGATCACCCAATTATCAAACAGAAGGGTTCCATCCAGATCAGGGAGAGGGCCCAGGAGGAAGAACCCCTGGCTACAGGCAGACAGGACGGCCGTGCAGCACTCACTGACACATGGCTGGAGACCAGGGCACCCTCCAGGATGAGGCCTTCAAGGAGCTGGTGCTCAGAGGCCATGGGGACCCATCCCACAGGGTCCCTGCAGCACAGGGCCTACCGCTCACCCCTTTGCTGGCCCCAACAGCCTTGTCTCACTGGGCACAAACAGTACCTCTAGATCCCTTGCTGCACTATGCTAATGTCTCCAACAGCTGGTGGCCTTGTTGCACCCCAAGGCTCTGGGTCAGTAGCTCTAAGTTTGAGGCTGGGCCCTTAGTGAACCAGGGCTAGATGTCTGATGGAAAGCTGCCTCTGCAGAGTGTCTTCTGAAGGTGATTCTGTTCGTTCTTTCAATCCCTTCTTAGGTTGTTCTTTCAAGCAGTCTGCCAGTTCCTGGGCACACTCCCACAGGCAGAGAAGTCTCATTCCTCTCCCCCCAGCATACAGGCTGGCCTGGTGACTTGCTTCTAACAAACAGACTTGGCAGAAAAACACCGTGTGACTCCTGAGGTGAGGCAGGAAAAGGTAACCCAGCTTCTGCCTGGCTCTCATGTCTCAGGTGACACTGGCCTTTAGAACACAGCTGCCATGTTGAAAGCCCAAGCCACAGCCAGCACCAACTTTCAGACATGTAAATGGGCACCTCCACCAGGACCCAGGCCCACCACTCTGTGAGCACCGCTACCCAGGAGACCCCAAGGGAGGACTGCCCAGCCAAGTGCTGTCAACCACAGAACCACGAGGGAGAAGCAGAGTGACAGTTGCCATCTCAGGCCTCTGGTTTGGGGTGACCTGGTGCACAAGGACAGATGAGTTGGGGAAGGTCCCCAGATACCCTCTCCTTGTGGTACCTTAAGGCTCTGCATGGGTCTCTGTCCCACCATGCCTTATGTGGACATTAGTGGGTTTGTCTTCTTCCCCGTGGACCATAGGGACTCTGTGGGGCCAGAGTGTGCAGTGATCTTGGTCATGTTATGCTCCCAGGGTGGGCAACAAGAGACACTCAGGGCACGCTGAGTTCCCTTCTTAGTTCAGCACCCTGCTGAGCTGGGCCTCACGGAGGAGCGGAGGTGTCACCTGTGCGTTAGGGACCATCAGGTGCTTGGAGAGCTTGGTCCTGCTGTCGATGAGGCTGCTCCAGTCCTGCAGGTACACGGTGCTGTGGGAGGAGGTGCATCAGCAGAGTGGGTGACCCCACCTGTGGGTGCTAGGGTCTGGTGGAGGATCCAGGCCCAAACCAGTCCGTTCACCAACCACCACAAAACCCACCTTGGTGTGCATTTTTAAGACAGAAAAAATGTAAATGTTGTTATCTGTTTAAAAATTTCAAACCAGTGGCATGCAGTGGCTCAAACTTGTAATCCCAGCACTTTGGGAGGCTATGGTGGGCAGATCCCTTGAGCCCAGGAGTTTGAAAACAGCCTAGGCAACATGGTGAGACCTGGTCTTTATGAAAATACATTCATTTAAAAAATTTAAAACCAAAACAAAGAGTCCTGCATCTACGCAGCTATGAAAACTCTGAGTACCCTAGGGCTGTTTTGAGCTTGTGGAGAGGCCGAGCAGAGGCAGCCAGGCCAGAGGTGGACACTGCTCCAGGGAACCAGGGTGGACACAGTGGGCAAGGCTGACAGTGTGTGAGGGGATGGCTCACTGAAGCACCACCCTGTCACCTCCCACTTCAATTGGGGGTCCTAGTGACTTTGGTCCCATTCCTTGCCCACAGGATGGGATGTGGGGCTCTGACCCTTCACCTGCCAGCTTGAGCTCCAGGGAGGGCTGAGAGTGCCATCTTTGCTCTAGACCCAGATAATTCTAGAAGCCCTCTCTGGGGTCTCTACTGGCCCTATGTCTACCCTGCCCAGCCCAGGCCCAGTCTCTGGGACTCTAAGGCCGTCAACTCCTGCTGTGTGAAAAGGAGTTCCTTCAGCACTGTCATCCCCAAGGCCCACCCTCTCAGGCAGGGCAGCCAGGACTGGAAGATGCTGCTGGGGTTCTGCTGGAACCATGGCTGATGGTCACATCCTCTCAGCCTGGGGGCTGCTCTCACCCAGACACTCCCAGGGTCTCTGCTGTGAACCAGTCCTCAATCTCAGCCCTGGATGTGATGCCCACCTTTGTGATGCTTTCCTTGAGAAGTGAGAAGGCCTGGATCAGCCCCATTCACTCACATTTTATCCTTCCCCCAATCCACTGGCCTTGGGTGCTATTTTTGGCTTTATTTATTGATAGAATAAGATCCATTTCTGGTTTCTTCCTACTGCATAGACAGGTCTATTCCCGCTCTGATGCTGATGCACGCCCACTCCCTGCCGGACTGGCTCCCCAGCCCTCCCACCAACATCTCCTCTCTCTGCTCAGAGTCCCTCAGACCTCCTCTTCCTCCCCAGGCCAACCCCAGGAGTTTGGAGTGAGCCCCATGCCCTGGATGAGTTCCCAGAACTACCTCAGACCACTGCCCGCCATTCCCCACTGTGGGCCCCCCACAGTGCTCATGCCCTCACAAGCCCCAGGAAAGGACAAGGGGGGGCTGTCCCACCTGCAGCACCACCACCTCCAGCTTGGTGTCTGTAGCAGCCAGGCTCACCTGCCCTTGCTCCGCAGCCATTTGGTGAAAGAAGCATCTCCACTTGGTCAGCCTGTCTGAGAACTGCAGCTGCAAATGCAGGCCTGAATGCCATCTGCACACACCCCCTGCCCGCCCCAGTCCCCCACATGGCCCCTGTGGCAAGCTCAGGCCTCTAAGGCATGGGCACCTGCACTTTTAGTGGATGCTCACAGCTTCCCTGAGGACTCGCCCAGCACCAGACTCTACAGGTGAAAGCTTACAGCCCCTACCGGAAGCTGGGGTCTCCCCAGTGCCATGAGCTTAATGGCTGAGAAGCCATCATCACTGGCTGCACCTGTCAGAAGCCACAGGAAAAGCCTTGAGGGCCCTGAGAAGTGCATGGAGGTAGTGCAGGGTGGGACTGGGAGGGCTGGGGCCTGGCCAGCCTGCAGCAGGCTCCTGGCCCCACCCCACACTGCCCATGAAGGCCTCACACTTGGCACTCCAGAGGCCCCGTGGAGATGGGAGGGGGCTCTCTGGCGGGATTTGTGTTTGCCATGGAGGTGTGGGACAGCAGTGGGCACAGACACTGCCTGTCCCCTGCTGAGCAGCCCCCACAGGGTCCCTGCCTCAGTTTCCCCCTGTGACACCAGCACTTCAGGCTGCTCACATGTGGGTCACAGGACCCAGAAACACCAGGCATATCTAAGACAGAAACATCCCAGCGGGGAGCCCTTGCTCAGGCCTCCTCCCCAGAGCCGGGCCCTCCCAGGAAGCTCTGATGCAAGTGCAGGCTCCTGTCCCTCTGGGCAGCCAGCCCTGCAGTCCCACCCTGTCCTCCAGGCCAGCCCTCCTGCAGCATTCTTGCCCCTGACATTTCTTTCCAAGCAGCACCAGAAATATTCCTTTAAAGTGAAAGCAGATCTTACCATCTCATCATGTTTAACACCACCCCAAAGGAACATCTGCTTCTGTAGGACCTTCTCCTTCAGTCTGCCCTGGCAGAACAGAAAATGGGTGAGGAAAAGACACCCCTCACCCTGATGGTCCAGCATTCAGCTGGCCACTCTGACCCCCTCCCCAGTCAGGAGGTGGCTTCTGAGCACTGCTCAGAAAGGCCAGGTGCAGTAGCATGTATCTGTAATCCCAGCACTTTGGGAGTCCGAAGTGGAAGGTTTGCTTGAGCCCAGGAGTTTGAGACCAGCCTAGACAACACAGCGAAACACCATCTCTACAAAAAATATGAAAATTAGCTGGGTGTGGTAGTGTGAGTCTATAATCACAGCACTTTGGGAGGCATGGCGGGGTGATCACTTAAGCCCAGGAGTTCCGGGCCAGCCAGGGCAACATACTGAGAC